CCAGAACCACTGAATGAATGAATGAATGAATGAATGAATGAATGAATGAGTGGATGAAGCAAGGGCTGATCCATTGCTAGGGCGTGTTAGAAGAGGACTGGTCTTAGTTGTGGTGACAGCAATTATTTAGTACATGCCTAAAGGGTTATGTTTTATGGAAATTACTTCATTTAATTATCCTAACAGTCCTTTAAGGAAGGTACCATTGTTACCATTTTATAAATGAGGAAATGAAAGCTCAGGGAGGTTGTCACACAGTGGAGCTATGACTAGTAGTGGTTTTATTAAAGTATCATGAAAATAGAAGACCACAGATATATACTAGTATGTGTGTATAGGAGTATTTACAGGTGTGTGTGTGTTGTTTATCTTAGTCCCAAGAAAACAGTAGACACTCAGGACATTATTGTACAGTAACTGAATGACTGTAAATGTTGGTGGTAATTAGAAGGGTAAAGTGAGATAAGTGAAGGGTAGAACAGGAATGAAAGTTTGACAGTGTAGCCTTGAGGAAGGAATTTCAAGGTTAATACACAGCTCCTGGGACTACTTTTTGTTGTTTAGGGAAGAGAGAAGTAGGCAAGGGCTCCCAGCAAGTCAGAAAGCTATGCTCTTGAACCCTAGGAGTCTAGGCTATGGGCCTGTGTCCAATGAAGGTGCTGGTGAGGTTTGTAGTCTCTACAATGTGGCCGCACTGTGTCAGCACCCAGAGCTCTCCCTCTGAAAGGCTTCCAAGTAGCCCCGTAGTTATAATAATCCTGGGGCTCACAGAATATAGGCGTTTGCTTTTGGACTGATCTGAAGTGGGCTGTCTAGAGTGGCTATATGGGTAAAAAATCTGAGCAACCCTGAACTTTGGCATTCTGTAGCCTAGGATTATTTACTTAGCCTCTCTGTGCTTTTTCTCATTTGTAAATGAGATATAAATCTAATAAGACTGTTGCAGGATTAAAATAAAATACTGCACATAACACACAGCATAGTTCCAGGCACTAGTTAGCTAAATAAAGTGCATATTATTAATGATTAGCATGACAAAGGGAAGGCCAGTATGGAGGAGCAGGAAGGAATGGGCTGGAGAGAAACACAGCCACTCGGTCCCATTTGCCCTCCACATCGCCCAGCTCCTCTGCGTCTCATCTTCTTCATGTTTTGCCAACTTCAGGCACAATAACTACCCACGTCAGGGATTAATCAAGACCGCACACATAGAGCTGCAGCCCTTTGTAGGTGCAAAACAAACACATTAGGAGTGTCTTTGTATTGGTCTCCAGTTACACTGCTTTGGAATTCAGCTCTGAGTGTACCGGGTGCCCTGATAGGGGCCAACTTTCCATGTCACCCCCCCAACCCAGAGTCCTAGAGAATGTTGACTGGCCAAAGCAGTTATCATCTCACCTCATCAAGTATGCTCAAGAATAAAATCTCTCAGAGGTCATCTTTACTGTGAAACTCTAAAATCATATTTATTCACCAATTCACAGAAAGTGTCGGAATGACCACCAACATGAATCAGTTTGTAGGCATTTACAAGCCAAGGCTGAAAATAAATATCTGTGTTGAATAGCATTTAACAAATTACTTGGAAACAGCAAGAATCTTAATTGTTAGAAAGTTAAAGTTTGAGATTCCAACAAGGGTAAGATCACAGTCATGGGAAGAAGCCCAGCAGGTTCCCGTGATGGTGGTTATTTCTTCCTATATCTTTGTGTACATACACTCCTAGCGGCCCTCACTCTGCATCAGCCTGAGTTGGACAGGGCAGCTCACTAGACAGGGGCAGGTGCTGAGGGTGTGGGCAGGGAGAGGGCATTTTCAGTGGTCTGCTGGCACTGGGCAACCTCTCTCACGGGACAAGGTGGTAAGTGCTCTCCTGAAGTTAGAGTCAACATTCCGTAAATATGGACAGTCCTTCTAACAAGATGTCCCAGAGTTGGCATTGCATCACACACACACACACACACACACACACACACACACACACACACACACACTAGTATAGTTGGAAAATGAATGCATTTTCTGGACTAAAATGATTCACTCTCTGAGGAAGTGGAAGTGCTCAGAAATGTGACGTGTGTCAGGTACACACTGGCCCACCCCCAGCCACTGCGGAGCCACTCTGGCCAGACTGGCAGTAATTGCCCAGATGGTAACAGTGTTTGGAGGTGATTCTGCAAAATGAGGCTGCTGGTCCTTCTTTGCTGCAGTATCAACACCTCAGAGCGAGAAGGCTTGCCTCCTTATCTCGGACCTTTCTCACACACATTGTGGTTGGCAGCTGGGGATAAACAGCCGATCAAGACTTCTAAATGGTGGTGGCATCTGACAGGGGAAAAGGCAAGGGCTGAGAGAGGAAACCACGGGACCTGTTAGACTGACTGAGCTCAGGACCTTCACATTTAGTTGCAGAATTGTGCCTCAAGTTGGCAAAACTCAACAGCATTTCACCAGGGAATGGCAGAGGTGATGGAAGGGAAGCCCTCAGCCCGGTTCCCTGTAGAAACAGCTTGTTGGGTGTGATGCAGGTGTGGTCTAAGTGGTGTGAACCCACTGTGTGCAATGTCCTGTCACTGCTCACTAGCAGCTGGCTGGACACTGCCCCAAATCTGTGAGTCACAGAGGCTTGTCCTCAGCCAGGTCATGATGATCAGGGGAGGGGATGTGGCCGAGCTTCTCTGTGGCTCACTTAACTTAGGGTCTGATGATACTATTGAATATCTACCCAGTGGTGACAAGCCGGACCTTCAATTTCCAAATGCCTACTAAGCTCCTATTATGTGCCAGGCACTATTCCCGGAGCTTTGAGAGCTAAAAGTAGACAACAACAACATGAAAAAGTATCCCATCCAAACCAGTGCTTCTAAAGAATTTAAACTTTGTTGGGACCATTGACATCTTCATTCTATATCTTACTTATTTCTCCCCTATATATGCACATGACACATATATGTCGCTGCCTTTAGCCTACTTGTCTCTAATAATTTATATTTAATACATTAACTAATATTCCAAACAAAGCACCACCAAGTCACTCCAAATATGACCTTACCGACATTATAATGTCCGTGCCAATAACATACCAACTCTAATATCTACAAATTCCTTTGAAAACAACCAACTTCTACATGCACTTTCTTTTCTAAACTCACCAACTGGTTTTCTTCAATCTCCCCCCAAGCCTGTCCAGCTCAGGGCACCAGACACCTGTTTTGGAAGCCACCAAGATCAGCTTGGAAGCAATCAGGTGGCTTGATCCATCATGACCATTTCACTTAGAACTGAAATCATCTTCCTACAGCTCTGACTTCAGAAGCAGTTGATTTGACCATCTCTGTGGTCACATCACCAGACACACCCCAAAGTCTGCTGACACTTAGATGCAGCTTTCAAGATGGAGCGGTGCTCTGGCTTCCTGGCTGAGGGGGGTTCTGGTTACTCTCACTCCTCTCCTGCCTCACGTTCCCTCTCCAACTGAGTCACCTCCATCTTTCTTTTCTTGCTTTTCTGCAAATCTAATTTCCTGACCTCCAAAAAGCTTTCGCCTTGTTTCTACCACTTGAAGTTTACTAGTGACGGTGAACATGACCGATTCTTAATCCCGCATATCAGCTGCTCCTTTGCAGTTGAGAAAGGGAGCTTGGGGGTGGGGGTGGGTTCCATTTTGACCAAGATCAATGCACTTTTGTGTCCAGGGGTGATGTGCACAGTATGTTCATGTCTGACCCAACGGCACAAGCAGAGCCCCTCATCTCCCAAAGGCAGATGCCTCCTCATCCCTTCCCTCCCTTCTCCACACAGGGACTGGAGTCTGTAGGTGAGACTTGGGGTTGGTTCTCTGCTTTTACACAAAGATACGACCTATGGGCTCATATATGATAGCTCTTTCTGTTGGAGAAAGGAACCCTCAACATTTGTGGTGTGTGTGTGTGTGTGTGTGTGTGTGTGTGTGTGTGTGCATTTCCCATTTCTGCTCTGAAATGATCAGAAAAAAGGGTCTGGGCAGCAGAGATGCATTTTCATTTCAAGATAAAAGCAAGCAGACATTAAAGCTGACATGTTTCTGTTGCCTGTGATTAATATACACCGTCTGCATTTTGGCTCTTGGCACGTCTGTTGTCCTCTTTTCATTAGTCTACTGGGAATTGAGCTTCACCTTGATGAATCTCCTCTGCAGAGAATCTGATGGAAGGGATTGGAGAGCAGCACAGGGCTGGGGTCACTAACAGATGGAGGCTTTCTCTCAGTCGGGATGCTGCGCATGGCTGACAGGGCACAGCAAGTGGGCTCATCAAGGCCCATCAACCCTTGCTCCTTGCTCAGGGGCTCCTTTCACTGGTCATAGTTGGGAGGGCCACTCTCCCAACACCCCAACTCCTGTACCTTTCCCATTGGTTTGTGGGATTATCTTCCACCCACTGCCCTTCTACTCCTCCTCCATCTGATTTCATAAAGGACCTCGACTTACGCATTAAGAGAAAAGATAAAGGCATCTTTCTGCATTGGAGCATCTTAATTTTTCAAACCCTGTCTGTTCACTGAGGTCAAGGGATCCCTGGCATTCCATGTACTTCAGCATGTATTGAGCACATGCTATGGGCCAGGTGCCATGCTAGACACCAGGGTGCTGTGATAGAGGAGTCTTGCCTTGAGGAAGGGGCCGGTGTAGCAGAGGAGGCAGTAGTTGGGGAGTCACATTTGCCTCATACCACCGTGAGTTCCACGGGTCCCATCAGACACCCCTCAGGTTCCTGAGACAGTTGTGGTTCCATTTCATTCAACTGAAAATTCTAGTGGAATAAGGTCCCTGCCTCTGGAGATGTCAACTTGGGGGTGCAGAGGTACCAGCTCCTCTCTGCTTCTTGGGAGGGGAGGAACTAGTTGGTGTTGGGACATGGTTCTTTGCACATTTCTGACATGTAAGTGGCTGATATGGTCTGTCAGTGACTCACCATGCATGTCTCACCTGTGCCCAGCCTTCCCAATAAATGTCTTCTCACTACCCACTCACTCCATCTGGTGTCCTGGCTGGGTCTGAGCTCCTCACCTCCGGTCCATACCTGACTACACAGGTCCAGGAGGCCGATCAGAACAGGGCCCTCCTGCTCCCAGCTCTAGCAAAGGGCTCTCCATCCACTGCCTGACATCCATCCCTCGTCCTTTGGTCCCACAGCAGGCTTTCTGCAACAAATGACTAACCTCAGGGAAACACATAAAATTGCCTTAAGATCTTGGGGAAAATAATGTTTCTTTGGAGAATTCACAGAGGCCAGGCTGTGAGGAAGAAGCTCTTCTGGATCTAAGTGGCATGAAGCAGCACTCTACCTGCCCCTCTAGGTTTTCCCAAGCTCTCTCACCAGCAACCGGCAAGCCCTAGTCCTTGTCGCATATTCTAATCTCATAGAGATGTGTTAGTATGATCTCTGTGGTCTCAGGAGATTGGCTGGGCATTTAATCAGAAGCTGTTTTCCAAGCTGGGCTGGAAAATGGAGGTGTCCGTAAGGGCATGCGGGAGGACCCAGCAAGGCGACTGCTGAGAGGACCAGGAATGTGTCTCTGGAGGGAGTTGGGCTTCTTAGGAAGTAGACGTAGCAGGGGAAGCTATCCAAGGCCATGTGCCTGGGCTCTTTCTCAGCCCCTCTTGTTGCCAGTTCTTCCACCCCAAGGCCCAGCGCCCCAGTCCTCTGACTCCCAGTCTCAGAAATCCTCATACGAGGACAGATTCTATACCACAGTCGGTTGTAAATGACTGAGCACCAAATAGTTCTCCCAAAGGCTTGTGGAGCTTCCTAGTTTAAAGCATAAATCAAAAGAATAAATCAATAATTGGTCGACCTTGGGTATCTGATCAGTGGGAAAAGGGGCATTGGCGTAGTCTGGTCTTAGAAATTCAAGGGCCAAGACCGATTGTCTGTAGGGAAGGCTGCAAGCTTGTTTTTGGTTTTGGTTTTCTACTTTCAGTAGGAAGAGTGACTGCCCTTCCAAGAGAAGCCATTTATTTCCTCCTGATTTAGTGTCTGGGTGATGCTGCTGTGTGCCCAGTCCCGTCACACACAGAGCAGCACTGCAGCAACCTGCAGTGTCCTTAGGTGACCATGCCCAGTTTGCCAGGCTCCAGCAGCACAGAGAGCAGTTCTCCTGGCAATGCAGGGTCATTGCTGCAGCTTCATTGTTCCCCTAAAGTGCAGCCGTTGAGGAGGGAGCTGGGTAGCAGCTCCTTAGGGATGGGTGGCCTCACGACAGCCTTGCCAGGAGGAAAGGGGCCAGACCAGCAGGAAGCGGGTCCTGCCCGAGGGGAGGTGTGGAACTGGGTCTAGGACCAGGGTTCTGTGAAACCCCCGCCTCCGGAAGTGTGCCCTGGAGCCTGGCAGGCCCCTCTCCTCACCACACTAGTGGTTGAGCGTTTTATCTTGCTAACGGTCCTCTCCTCCCAAAGCCAGCTTAAGTCACTCTCCTCATCCTCTGTGTCAGTGGTCCTTAAACCTTAGTGGGCATCAGAACCCGAGAGCTCATTAAAACTCGGATGGCTGGTTCCCACCCCGGAATTTCCAACTCGGTAGGTCTTAGGTGGAGCTGATGCTGCCGTCCAGGCATGCACTTTCAGAGCCTCTGCTCCACAGGGTCCAGTGTGAACCCCCACAAGGTCCTCGGGAGTCAGGTCCTCTTTTCCTCCTCAGCTACAATGTGGGGCCTCAGAGCTGCTCCCTCATGTCAGGTGGCTTCGTGGCCTTAGGTCTTGCCAGCCCCGGACCTGGTCACCCTTCCTAATTTCCGCCTAGTGTCACTGACTCTCAGCCAGGTTATTTCAACCCCGTGAATGAGTCTGAAACACAGGGCAGCATGGCCTGATTCCCCGGGGAGCGCCTCAGCTGGCCCAGCGATGTGCGTCAGGGCTCCCAGCACTACACTGATCACCTGACTTTGGAGAATGGCCAAAGCAAGTTACCCCACTTGGCCCAACCCTCAACTTCTGTCCCCAATAGTGCCGACTCCCCCTAGACAGCCCCTAACACTGCAAAGGAAACGTCCCAACAGCTTGTAAGACCAGGAGCTCCTTATGGGCAGAGACATGCCTAACTCTTCCTCTCTTCCTCTGTCTGGCACAGGGCCTGGCACACCCCGGGTGCCCAGCAAGGATTTGCTGAATTACATGGAGCATAGCTGCAAACACAGAATCCCATCTGTTCACTGATGGCTCACAGGCAATGCAGGAGAGCTTTCTGCGGTGCTGGTGGAGGTAAGTTCTTCTGTCTCTTTTTATCTCCCCGGGAAAGTCAAGAGTGGCTTCAAATCCACAGCCCTGGCAAAGCCAACTGTCCTTTGCAGCTGGTGCCAAAAGGAAAGTTAGAGCAAGACCCTTAAAGCAGGCACAGAATACATTTATGAAGGAAAGCAAACAAAAACCTGGAACTGAAGGTGCTGGAGCCGACCTCACACTTTCGTTGCTCATTTCCTTTGCCTACAGCTGGGCAAGGGAAAGTAGTTCCATGGAAACTAAACTGTGCCCAGGGCTTTGGCTTGTCAGCCTCGATCAACATCTGAGGCAGATAGAGATCGCGTGCTGCCGGGAAGCCCACCAGAGCACCCTGCAGGAGGCTCTGAGGGTCTCCCAGAGGCCTGAGGGTGATCTTACTTGAAAAGCATCTACTTTGCACTGGTCAATCCTTTCAAAGAATTAGACCCATTCCCTCACGTTTTTTAAAAAAAGTGATGTGGCTCATTTAAACGAGGGATGGTTAAGAAGCCCTTTTCTTCCTCCTGCTAATATTGAACCATAGAGCCAAGAAGACTGTTATTTTGAAGTGTGCTGGGTCGGGCTCTCTACTGATTACATCCCTATTGATTCAAACAGTCACAAGTCTTTAGAATCACTTTCAGAGTGATGGCATGAGCTGGGCTGAAATGGAAATCAGCCTGAGATAACGAACACTGAACACTCCCGCTTAGAAGTCAGGATGGGCTGCGTCTTGCAGAGAAGGCCGTGAGCCTGGGAGTTAGCCCTCAGCTCAGTGGGGTTAGTGCTCAGTGGTAAGTCAGTGCCTGGACCCAGGGCCTTCAGCTCAAATGCTCACCTGCATTTGAGTCAATTCAACAAGTAACGTGTGTTTTTTTGCTTTCATTTTCTTTAGGACAGACTTTTAAAACAGCATAAGTAGACACCTGGTGTTGTTTGTGGTTCCTTTTAGAGGCAAAGACCACTGAGAAGTTTAAGGGACGGTCTAAGATAGCCATTTCCACACACGCAGGGCAGGCGTGTGCACACTACCCCCCAAGGGCCAAATCTGGCCACCTTATCGTTTTTATATGGCCTGTTGGCTCAGGAAAGTTTTTCCAATTTTAAATGGTTGAAAATCATAATCAAAAGAACAACAAAATGTCGTGACATGTGAAAATAATATGAATTAAATTTGCCTGAATTTTCAGTGTTCAAAAAAGTTATTTTTGGAATGTGTTCATAGTCATTTGATTAAGCAAAGTCTGTGGCTGGTTTCATGCTACAAGGACTGGGGGAATACTTGCAACAGAGACCACATGGCTTGCAAACCCCTAAATATTCCCTTTCTGGCTCTTTACAGATAAAGCTTGTGGAGCACTGCTATACGTGTTACGTACAGGAGAGGAGAAAGAACACTGCTCCCCACCAGAAGCCTCCTCCCTGGAGGGTCCCGGTGCTCAGGTACAGCCTTGCTACTTGCAGATATGTGGTCTATGCCTGCTGGACGGGGTTGAGTACATTCAGGAAAGTGATGGGGGAAAAGGTCTCACTGAAGTCACATGTTTGTTATGTAGATGAATTTGGGCTTTGGTCAGATTTATAGCCTTTGATTACACCTACTAGAATATATGTACTTTTAGCATTCTTTAAGACAGGTGGCCAGCTCCTTGCTTGCTTTACTCTACTAGGGCAATACATTCTGTGCTGGCCTTTTCTCTCTCAACCTCTTACCCTTCCTCCTTCTCCTCCCTGTCACCTGAACCATTGGAGAGGTATCAGCCTCTCCAGAACCTGACGGTGCACTTGGAAAGACAAGCAATGGGCTGGCCAAATCAGTCTGCTGTTCCTCCTGGGTTCAAGGCTGTATCTGCCACTGGTGACATTGGGTGAGAGGTCACAGCGTGTCCAGGTCATCTGGGAGTTTGGTTCCAGGGTGCCAGCATATAGAGACTAGAAAATGCTGGGTTGACCATGACCTTTTCCACTTGTGGACAGAGTATCTGGTGGAGGGCAAGTGGCATTACTCGCCACTCACCTGGATAATCCCTGACACTTCTGTTGTTTTACATAACCGCCCCTTCCTGTTCTCACCATGGTTATGAGTAGGGTGCTGGCGACATGACAAATGGCCTTTGACCCAGCAGCACCATTTCTAGTGCCTCCTCTCTGAAATGGTGCAGACTGTGACTTTTCTCAGCAGGCGTTGACGGAAAGGACTTTGATGACCTGTTGTTTCTCTGCATGTAAGTCTAGTCCATGACTCTGCTCCCTAGCCAAGTGCCACGTTCCCTTGCTCCCTCCCCCAAGGATTTGACATGTCCCAGACCGCTCCCTCGGCCACGAATGAGTGACACAGCCACCTGGAGACGGGGGTGGCAGTCCTACAGGTTTTCTCCCTGTAGATGTGTGGACACAGCAGGGGAGAAAAGGCTATTTGGTTGGGAGAATTCACAGAGGTGTCTATTTCCAGTCAATGAATATAAAACCCCAAACTCCTGCCAGCGTTTTTCCCTAAGGGAAAAATAAGAGCGCTGGTTGAGTTTGTGGATGTGTCCCTCTTGTTCCTGTGACTTCTCTCCCTCCTTCTGCATCTGCCTCTTGTATCAGTTCCATGCCCTTTAGTTCTACTCTGCCACCATCAAGCCCTCTGAGGCCCGGGGGCTTCTCTTACTCAGCTCCATTCCTTCCCACTGCTGCTGGGGGAGTGCTCAGCCCATAGTAGGTCCTCAGCAATGCCAGTTAGCTGGGTAAAGATGAGCAGACGTAGAATCAGGGTGGTGGGCACTGGACTCGAAGTGGAAAGTGAGGAGTCCAGTCTAGTCTATCTCTCTGAATGACTCTAAGCAAGATGCTGGAATCTCTGAACCTCTGTTTACTCACAATGGAAATGTGCCTGACAGCAGAGGCCACAGAATTATTGTGAGGCTCAGAGGAAGGAACAGATGCAAAAAGCACTTTCAGCGATGGAAAGGGCTGCATAAAGGATGTTTTCTGGAATCAGGGGTTGCAAAGGCTTACGGTGGGTCCTCACTGGGTGAAGGTCAAATGAGAGGACATTGACATAAGCTTCAGGAGCTCTGTTTCAATTGCGGGTGGGGGGGTGGGGGATGTTAGAATGAACAGATTCTGAACTTTTGAATCTGAATGCCACTGTGACAAGGGACCTGTGCCTGTACCAAGCCAATATGGAGTGGGCTGGAGGAGACTGGGAGGACAGGGACAGATCACATATGCGAGGACAAAGCCTGAGACGTCCGAGCCTCGCGGACGTCCTCTAATGGCCCTAATTCTTGCCTGCTATTCTCTTGGCCACAAAAGATCCCAGACCAGTTACTATAGCAACAGTTTTCCCCACAAGGTGTCCATGTTAGGAGGGAGATGGAAGAGATTTCCTTATTAAAAAAAAGAAATAAATTAGGTTTTCAGTTATATTTGCCCTCCACCCAAAGTGCTGCTCCCTTTTTTTTTTTTAATGGAAAGAAAATGAAGCAGCTGTTATAGCAAATGTTTCTAATTCCTAGCAGTTAAATGTTCAAACTTTTGCTTTAGGCTTGATGCAGTTCACGCTTTTTCTAACACATCCAAGAGGAATGTGTTTTCCTAAGAGGCAAACCAGTGTGACATAGGGGATGAGGATCCTAAGACTGGGTGGCGAGAGCCTTGTCCACCTGGGGCTGCCCTGTCTCCCAGATCTGTGTCCACCATGAAGTCCAATGGTCACCACCATTGGACTGTCAGCCCTTCTGATCCCTGGCTGCAGGCTTTTCACAAATGTCGGCCTGTATGGAATGCTTCCTGGATTCCGTGATTTCATGGGGTGGGAGCCCCCAGCAGGGAAGTCATGTGGGTCTCAGCGGCTGCCTAGGCAGGCAGACTCAGAGAGCATTGTCTGGGACCAGGCCTGTGGTAGCCCAGGTTTTGGACTTTTCACATACACTTATATGGTCTCAGAAAGGTCAAAGGGAAAGGGTCTGCAAACTGGGGAGCGTGTGTGTGTGCATGAGTGGGGAGCCTCTCCCTGTGAATTTAGTTCCCGCCTCAGCAAGGACTTCCCTTTAAAGTGCTGAGGACCAAGATCTCAGGTGTGTGAAATCCAACCACCCTGCCTGAAGGAAGAGTCAGGTAAGGAGAACCCGCTGGTCTGTGTGGAGAGACAACTGAGTTTGGTGCACACAGTGAGTTGGAACCCCAGGGTCTTGGGGACACGGAGCCCAGGGAGGTGACTGCAGAGAAGAGCAAAGGCAGAACTCTGCAGATGGGCTGACAGGACCTGGGAGTCGGGGAGGAGCAGTGGGCGTGGCAGGACAGTCCACCCCGAAGTCCCCACTGAGGATGAGGCTGGGCTTCCTGGAACCAGCCCAGGGCTGGGGCACAGGAGTGCCCACGCGTGAAGGGTGGGTTCCAGGAGGCTGGGGAAGGCCTGCCCAGAGTGTCATTGAAATCGGAGGCGACAGTGATAGACTCACATACATTAGCTGTGGCTTACAAAAGGGACAGTGGGCGGGCACAGAAGGAGGGGCGCTAGTAGGGGAGGGTGGAGTCATCCCACTCCAGCTGGGCTTGCCTGGCTCCGCTCTGCCCTTGTCTGCCCCTGCCCACCCCTCCCTCCACCTCCTCCTCGTCGCTGGCATCTGAGTCGCTGCTGCTGGAGCTGATGTCTTCTTCCACTTCCTCCTCCGTCTCATCTTCCCTGTGTCCTGGTGCTTCGTGTTTCTGGGAGTTGGGAAGAGAAGGGAAATGCTGGTCAGGGGCTGCGGAGAGGCCACATGTAGGGCCCCTTGGCATCCCTTCCGCTTAATGCTGACCCGTGGGCCTGGAAGGGAGGTCCTCTGGTGAAAGGTAGAGCAGAGGGCCGAGGACACAGACAAGAAAGAGCAGCTAATTCCAGGCCATGAAGTCAAGGTGAGGCGTGTGTTTTAGACTCTGGACATTTAAGCCAGTTCCACATGTAACTTTGTGAGGCTTTCAGGCCCACGTCTGTTTTCTGGCATTACTGGGGCCTGTTGACATGAGCTGGCCAAGTCCCCAGTGTCTGCTTCTCAGTGAGAGGATGGCGGTTCAGCTTGTCCTTCTTTCTCAGGTAGGAATGTAATGTCTCCAGGAGCAGGAGGTCATCTGAGCCAAGACTCAGGTGTATTGCCCTTCAAAAGTGTTCCTCTGGGAGGGACAGAGTTCACGGTCCTCATTTTTCATGTTTGCCCCTCACCCTCTGAGTCCCTAGTCCAGTGATGGCGAACCTATGACACGCGAACTCATTTTTTTGGTTGATTTTTCTTTGTTAAATGGCATTTAAATATATAAAACAAATATCAAAAATATAAGTCTTTGTTTTACTATGGTTGCAAATATCAAAAAATTTCTATATGTGCCATGGCACCAGAGTTACGTTAGGGTTTTTCAAAATGCTGACACGCCGAGCTCAAAAGGTTCGCCATCACTGCCCTAGCCCATCTCTGCTGCCCCCAGTTTTTGTGATTCTAACCAAGTCTTTCTGGATTTATGCTTTGATGAACCGGCCGTAAAAGACATGTGCCCCTCCTTGGCCACATCCCATTTGTGGAGTGTCTTCACTTCCACCATTGCCTCCCCCAAATCCTACCCATTCTTCAAGGCCTCCCTTAAGCTAGCCTCCTCCAAGAAGTCTTCCCTGAACCTCCAGCCCCCTCGGCTCTCGTTACTCAGGCTTCACTGACTGCTGGCATCACCAGGTTAGCCCTGGGAAGGCACATGCTGGTTTGGTACTGAGACTGATCCAGGATTGGTGGCTATTTCCCACACCTAGGGCTCAGCTCTTCCGGGGTGGAGATGCTGGCGTCTCTACAGTGGTGGCTCAGCATGACCCACTGCATGTGCTGAGCCACATCGACTGGGAGGCTTTAAAATCAGAGCATAAGGCCAGTTGCAGGGGACACTGAGGATGAGGCCTAGATAACCTTCTCATGTCTCAGTGGCTCCACCTCCACTCAGTGCCCACGGGCAGACTAACGGGCAAGATGCCATGGCTTCCTTTGATACTCATATGCCCAGAGCAGGGGCTTTGGACATTCATGGGTGGGTTCTGGGGTCTGCTGGCTAACTGGCAAGATCTGAACGTTAGAATCCGGCAACCTGGAGTCTGAAAATGGCACCGCCACTGCCAGATATGGGGGTGTGAGCACTTCCCTCTCTGTCAGTTTGCGCCTTGGCAGGTGAGGGTGTTGCCTCCGACTTCACAGGTGGGTGGAAGATTGAATGAGATGCGCATAGAGAGCACGCTGTGCAGCGTCTGGCATAATGGGGGGCTCGATAAATGGCAGCTATTAATGTTGTATTTCTGTTTTAACCTATTCTGAGCCTTTAAATGAGCTCTGCAGGCAGCATGGAGCAAAGCCATTTAATTTGCACTGTTAATTAATCAAAAATTCAATACTGAGTCCCTAAGTGCTAGCTCCCAGCTAAATCTAACGGGGGTGGCAACCGATAGACACCACATGGCTGCTCGCCTTCAGAAATGTCTGGTTCTGCTTGCAGGGTGAGAGCAATTCACACGTTTTTAACCAGTGAGTGCAGTTGATGGGAAAGGATGGTCCTTTCAGGCTGAGGGGGCTGGGTAAGACAGGGCTTCTGGCACAAGAAAGATAGAGGGTGGAGGGGAAGCATCCTAGTGAAGCTCCCACCCTGGTGTGAGGATTACCTCCATGGGGTTGACTGTGATAGTGAGCGCAGAGTCATCCCAGTCCATCTCGACCTCCTTGGCAGCCTCGGTCTCCTGGGTGAAGTGCTGGTGGGCGACCCGGACCCGGTGCACGCCCATTGCCACCACGAACACTAGCATGCACACGGAGATGATGACGACCACCGTGGCAATGCTCGGGACCACTGGAATGAGGAAGGAATCCGCGTGACATGGAAGACTCGCTCGCTCTACGTCACCATGGAGCTGGAGTGCAACACCCATGCAGAGGCTAGAATCTGCCCTCCCCCTTTCCAGCTGTAGAACTCTGGGTCAGCGCCTTTCTCTGTCTGGGCTTCCCATTCGTCATCCAAATGATGGGCTTAAGAATTCCTATCCCAGGGGTAGTTGTGAGGAGCAAATGAAATGATCTATGTGCACTTCCACATAGGCACATAGCAGGCACTCAATAAATGCAAGTTCTTTTCTATCTCTTGCTTTCCCCCTCAAATTACAGGACAGCTCTCACTGAGAGCCAGGTGCTATGGAGTTTAGCAGGAACAACACAGTAGTAATACAATATGGCAAGTGCTGGGACAGAGTACAGGTAGGGGACTTTGCAGTGTGGTGCACATGTGTATATATGTGAGCATATGTAAGGGGTTCAAAGAAAGCCTCATACAGGATGTGGCTTTGAGTTGGACTTAAAAGGACTTGCAGAACCAAGGCGTAGGTAAATGCCTGTTCTCGCCACCTCCTACACCACATCAAAATTACAACTAACAGAGACAGAAGCATCGATGAGACCGTGGTTCTCAACCTTGGCTGCACATTAGAATCACCTGGGAATCTTTAAAATCCTGATTTCTGGGCCTCATCCTCCGGACATTCTGTTTCTTTGTTATGGGGGTGAGGCCACAACATTAGTAACAAAGAAACAATTTCCGGAGGATGAGGCCCAGAAATCAGGATTTTAAAAAGATTCCCAGGTGATTCTAATGTGTAGATAAGGTTGAGAACCACTGGATCAGACCATCAAACCTCAGAGGGAAGGTAGGGGAGGGTGGGGATAAGGGGGAGAGATCAACCAAGGACTTATATGCAAGTATAGAGGCCTAGCCAATGGACACAGACAACAGGGGGTGGGGGGGGTAATGTGGGGATAAGGACACATATGTAATAACTTAATAAAGAAATAAAAAAAAATTACAACTAAAATACAGAACAATCATTCAGAACCATCTGAAAGTTGGCTGAATGGAAATACTACAACTAGACAAGTAAAGAAGAAAGCACGTTGAGACTGGTAGGAGGGGCGGAGAGGAAGATCAACTCTGTGGAGGCCGCCTGTGAGGAGCAAGGGGTCCCAGCCCCACACCAGCCAACCAGCCCAGGGTCTCAGAGCTGGGAAGAGAAGTCCTCAAAACTACAGGCTGTAAAAACCAGCAGGGATTGGGGCTCAGTGACACAGAGGCTGCTGAAGACCCAGCTGTTCCTTTTAAAGGCCGATGCAGGAATGTACTTGGACTCAAGCCCTCTGAGCTCTAGCACTGGGCTCTGGGGGACCCAGATACATACGAGGAGGAACTGGATAGTCTGGCATCGGGGCAGGAACTCGGGGTGGCTTTCTCCCAGACAGGGGTGCTCACAGGGGTCTTTGTTCCTGTGCTGGGACCTTTCTGGTCCCAGAGCTGACTGTCAGCCATATCTGAGTCTCCATCAGCTTGGCCCACACTGGGAATTCCCAGGAACCCCACTCCACCCAATTTGCAGCAGCTTTTCCATAAGAATGGCCTGTCCTGGCTCAGGCTTCAGACTTTGCTAAAATCTCTCAAGCTGCAGCTGGTGACAGTGTGCCCCAAACCTATCAATCAAGACCCGGCACTAGCACCAACCTGCCTTCCTTCACAGCTGGGCCTCGCCCGGGCATCTCCAAGCCCAACACAAATAGCAAATAGCAGTTGTCTGAAAATCCCTCTGTAGCTTTGGCTGGGAGGCCCCAGGCAGTGGCTGACTTTGCACCACCCTGGAGGCCCTAGAGCCAGTGTACCCAGTGGACAGCTTCAGACTATAGCATATTCCAACTCTACACATCCACAAGCAACACACTCAAGGGGCAGACTCAGCACCAAAGCCCCACTGAAGCAAGTCCTGCTCCATAGGGGTGTTTCCTGCATAGCAGCTCTCCTACTATAGTCGCAGCTGGTCCTCACAGCCAATTAGCCTGGAGGTCAACTCCTCCCAGTGATGCCAACAGCAATCAAGGCTCAACCACAAGACTGTGCACACAGCTCACACAGGGGTGTACCTAGAGTGCCCAGCTCAGGTGACTGGGGAGACTGAGCCACTGAGCCCTACAGGACACCTCTACACAAGGGCAGAAGGGAGTGGCAAGAAATATTCAATGTAATGAACAGCAAGGACCTACTACCAAGATTACCCAGCAAAGCTCTCATGTAGAATTGAGGGTCAGATAAAGAGCTTCATAAACAAAAAGCTAAAGGAGTTCATCAGCACCAAACCAGTATTGCATGACATGTTGAAGGGTATTCTTTAAGAAGAGGAAGAAGAAGAGATTAAAAAAAATATATGAATAAAATGGCAACAAATACATGGCTATTAACATTTGAATCTAAAAATAAACGAACAAGTAATTTAATGAACAAAATAAACTGGTGAATAAAATAGAATCAGAGGCCTGGAACAGACTGACAAATCTCAGAGGGAAGGGGAGGGAGGTTGGGGCGAGATCCTACCTATGGGCACAGACAGTAGGTGGTGAAGGCCTGGGGTAGGGCGGAAACCGGGGGGAGGGGGGACAATGAGAAAAAGGGGGACATCTGTAATACTCTCAACAATAAAGATTAAAAAATATAAAAATAAAAGGATTTGCAAAATTTTACCCCAGCCCTTTGTACTAACCTCTGTTATTACATATCGTCTGTAACTTGTTTACTTGACCAGCTTCCTTTGGAGGCTGTGTGAGTGCCTCAGAGCCAGGGTCCACAGCTTCCCCATTATCAGGTCCCTCCCTCAGGTCTGGGCACCCATGCCTGCTGCTCCCTAAATGTCTTTTTAGTGGATGGTCTTGAGTTACCTGTTGTCCTGTGGTCTCTCCTGCCAGGTGACGTACCTGAACTGCGCTGGACGCTAGTCTGGGACTCGGGGTGGTGGACGGACTGGAGGAAGGGAGGCTGCACGATGAGGTGGTTGACGTGCTCATTGTCTGAGACTCTGACCTCATGGAGGAGGCTGACCTGGGCGAGGAGGGAGAGGGGCTGTTGACCAGTGGCAGGTGGGCCAGTGGCAGCAGTCCTCCCGAATACATGAGGGAAAGAATGGATGAGCCTGGGCTTCCCTTACAACCTCAGGGTGCACTCACCTCCAAGTTGAACTCGTTGCTGGTGTAGCGCCCGTTGAGTTCTGAGCATTTGATCCTGAACCGCCGGGACTCGAGCGAAGCTGGACGCCAGTTGCGGTAGCGGATGTGACGTAGCACCTGCTCATAGCGGCTCATGGAGCCCACACCTGCCAAGAGACCACACCTATCTCAAACAGGCAGAGAAGGAGACGGGGAGACAGGCTGCAGCTGCTGGGGCTGGTCCGTCTCCTGAATTTGGCCAGGCCGAGAGCTTGAGATGTTTAGGGGCAGACAACGTATTGAAGCAAAAGTTCTAAGGAGCTAATGAAACAGACCCACAGGATTTCCACAGGCAGTGGGCTCTGACCACAATGTGTGGCCTCACTTGCCAGATGTTGCTATAATATCTGTTTCGACAGGAGATTCTCCCAATAGTGGGGATGTGGTCCAGGTTCTCAAGATGCTGGAGTAGCTAACAAAGGAAGGGCCAGAAGCCCATGCTCTGCGGTCAAGGGCCCCCACCTGACACCATCGTGGGGATGGAGTGCCTTCCTGGACTAGGCCACTGTAGGAGGAGACCACCAGGAGAAGGGGCTGGGCGTGCTTACCGTAGATGGAGTAGCCTGCAGTGGAGTTGGTGGCGTCGAGGTGGCGCTGGTGGAGCTCACTGTGGTTAAGCTCCAAGCACTCCTGTCTTGGGTCCAAGTCCCCTCCCAGCACCAAAATGTCACAGAAATCTAAGTTGTGAAGCATTTCTTCTAAGACTGCTGATTTGGGGGCTGTGGGGAGACCAACGCCAGGGAAACAGGCGTGAGGACCACTCAGACAGCGGAGGAAGATTCGGCATCGTCTCCTTCCTCTGTGACTGCACCCCAGGTGAGGGCGGGGTCCAAAGAGGCTGTGTAGCCCTAGGTACCACCTCCACTGCCGGGACGGAAGTCCAGCAGCTCCTGAGGTTGGGCAGCATGAGTGTGTGTGTAGACAGGAATTCGGTCGTCAAGATGTGAATCTGAATACCAGTGCTGCGACTGAGGAGCCGTGCAGTGTTGGAGAAATACCTGCCCCTCAGTTCCCTCACCTGTAAAGAGGGCAGGGATCCTGAGAGGGTTGAAACAGTGTCTGGCACATAGTAGGTGCTCAATAAGCAACAGCTCTCATTTGAGGCCAGAGCGAGCACCCCTCCCCACTCGCTCATGCAGCTTTCTCCCGGCGGGCGTGGTGTGTGTCTGTTGCCCCCGGTAGACTCTGAGATCCTCAGGGGCAGGAGCACTTTTTATGACGAGCCCTCAGGACCCAGCCCAGGCCCTGGCATGGAGCAGCATTGCTACACGTGGCTCGAATGGAGCGAAACCGTTACTGTAGTTAAATGCTTAGGTAAATTGGCCCTGATTGATTATTTTGGGCCCTAAATTTCCCAAGGGTATGTCTGAGCATTTGAATGCTGGGCAGGCTGGCAGTACTAACTTAAAACCTCACCTTGAAATGAAAGTGATTGGAATGTATGGAGTGATTGCTACGTACCAGGCACTATGCAAATGAAACCCTAACAGACATTGGAGGGGGTGCTGTTGTTATTCCATGTTACTGATGGGAAATGGAAGGTCTGAGGGGTGGAGTGCATTACTTAGGATCACACAGATAGATAGTAGCCTGTGGATACTGCACTGGGAGTGGAAATGTGTGAACTGAGATCATTGAAATAAGTGTACTTATTTATTTATGAAGACTAATATACTTTGTGCATTATAAAACATTTATAAAAATAGAAATTAAAAAGGATTCACTAAAGATGAGAGAATTATGTTAAATAAGTATATATTTTTTGTGATATCAAAAGTATCTTTCCCTCTCCCTAGATAGCTGTTATTATAAGCACTTTCAGATGCTTAATTTTTAAATGCTTGCCAATCTCAATGGCTTCACGTATCATCAGCAAAATCTAAAAGCACATTAATATACACTTAAGCCAGGCCAGTGTGGCTCAGAGGTTGAGCATTGACCTATGAACCAGGAGGTTATGGTTCGATTCCCAGTCAGGGCACATATCTGGTTGTGGGCTCGATCCCCAATGTGGGGAGTGCAGGAGGCAGCCAATCGATGATTCGCTCTCATTGATGTTTCTATCTCTCTCTCTCCCTCTCCCTCTGAAATAAAAATATATTAAAAACAAACAAAATATACATTTAAGACAAGGTCTATCATTAGCAATGGTGCATGTGTATCTCTATTTCAAATGGTCTTCTCCTGGTTTCTGGGCTTCTTCTGCCAGCTTCCCATCAAGTTGGGTTAGGCCAGGGCATCCTTGCTCCACCTCCCCAGGTGGCTGACTGATGGCTCACCCTGGGTAGGGGGCCATTTTCTCACTGTTCCCTGTGCTTGTGTGTGGGTAGTATGTTCCATCTGCACTTTCCTTGATCCCCACTGTGCTGAAGAGACTGTGTGGGCTCAGGGACTCAGAGCTGAATCAGCCATGGCCGAGCCCTCGTGGAGCTCCTGGGGGCGTTTAGTAAACACATGGCCAAAGTTGTGTGCTAGAGATTTCCTTAAACCACGTCGCCAACCTTTCAGAACACCAGCTGGCGACCGCCGTGCTAGAGTGCAGCACTGGTGGGTGGGGGTACAGAGCAGGAGACCTGGCCCAGGCTAGGGTCGGGGTGGTGGTGGAGGAGGCCTTCTGGAGAGGGTGTGGGAGGCCGAGATGTTTGCCAGCCATAACGAGGATGGTTCGAGAGGAACCTTCCAGGCAGAGGGCAGAGAAAGAGCAAACATATGAACTGACACGGAAATGTGTGTGTGAGAGAGGGGGGCCGTGCAAGGGGGAGGAAACAGGACAAAGAGTGGGTCAATGGGGGCAGTAGCTGCTAGAGTGGGCCTTTCAGGCCTAGTGGCAAGTGCCATTAGCCTGCTGGTTGAAGGCACCATGATAATGACTATCCTAACAATAGGAGTAGATTTTTAAAAGCACGAATATAGGTCTCAGGCACTTGGCCCTGTGCTCTGCATGCATCTCTCATAAACAGAAGGTAAGATAGGGACCCAGACCGTTGCTCTCCCCTGCCTTGCCCATGTGTTGCTATCAGGCCTAGCAAATCCAGCCGCTCTCAGTTATGGCCTGAGACCACTGAGGTCAGAGGCCCTTTTCTGTCTGATTTTAGGCACAAATAAGATGAAGGAGGAAGGTCACTGACTTAATGCACCTTGGAGTGTAACTAGGGAACCGCCCTGCCTGACAGGCGGTAAAACTCCACCTGTTTTGTAAGCTAAGAAGGCTGCTTTGTGAACCCCCACCGCCCCATTGGCTAGGGCCAGGGTGGCTTAAAGCAACAGGTACTTAGGATTACTGCAGAAGCAGCCCCTGGGGACTCGGGCCCACTGGCACCCAAACATCATTAGCAGCCGCCTTTGGAGAGGGAGGGGGCAGCAAAGGACAATTTTCAAAGGGGTGTTTCATGTAGATCTGAACCCCAGATCTCCCTCCCTCCCCCCTCCCTCCCTCCCTCTCCCTTCTCTTTCTTTTCCCTGCCTCCCTCCACCTCCCTCAAGCCAGCAGCATATCCTGTAGCTGTTTTGCAACTGTTTCTCCCTGGCAGATAATGCCAATTACCTACTTTCACCGAACAGCCCTTCCAATAATGAAACCGTTGGAAGGAGCAACTGGGAAGTTTCCTGAGAGCTCAGCTCAGAGTAATAATTGCAAACAAGTCTTTTGCTCGTATATATTAGGAGGCAGTTATGTGTTTTTCTCTGTGCTGCTTCCACTTTTCCTCTGAGCATCCAAATAATCGCACTCGCTACAGAACATTCTGCAGTTGCCGACAACTGAAGGGGAGCAGAACCCCCGGCCCCAGGCTTCTCCGAGCGAGCCTGCCACTGGTAGTTTAAGGCGTGTTTCCCTGTGGGCACTTTCCTGTGTTACGTATTTCTTTATGTGGCTGAGATCAGTCTATGCATAGATACTCTGTAATTTGCATCTTGTTTTTTGTCACTTACCATTTAGCATAAATGCCTTTCCTCCAACAACACAGCACGTATGTGGGGGTAGATGACTCGCTGAGCCATTCATTCCCCTCCTGTATTTATCTGTGTTGTTGCCGGGTGGGGTTGCTTGTTTTGCTATTGTAACTACCTTGCTATGGGGTACCATACTGTGGCCCTGAAGTGAGATTTGATGTGGCTGTGAGAGCTTAAGGCCCACTGCCCACAACCCAGGATGCATCGGTACCTGTGGGCTTCAAGTCACCTGGGGCCTCGGCTTTGGCGAAGGTGCTCACGATCTTGATGTCAGGGAAGAGGGTCACGCCTCGGGCACTTTGGAATTGGGCGGCGGGTCTCCAGAGGCGGTCCGTGCCGTGGAGGGTGATCTGGGGCTCCATGGCCTGCAGCACCATCACGTAGGCGTCCATGTCGGGGATGCTGATGCACACGTCTTCTCCAAAGCACCTGGGAAGCACATGATGGAACCACCCATCGTGCATCCATGGGCAGGGATGCAGGCACCTCTTCCTAGCCCCCCCCCCCCCCCCCCCCCCCCGCCAAGACATCCTGATTGCCTGCAAGGCTCCGGGATGGCAGCAGGCATTTAGGTTTAAAGACGCATTATAGTCAAAACGACTAGCAATCTAGGGACTTAATAAGATTGGCTCCTGGGAGAAATGGGAATCTTCTATTCCAGCAACAAGTAACCATGAAACCTTTAATTATCCTTTAACAAAGTAATCAATGGCAGCATTAATTAGATAGCAACTGCTTGTCTTGTGCATTAGGAGTTGGTAAGCAAACTGTTGTCTAACTGGTTGGTTACAGCCATCTTATTGAGACCGCAGGGCTAAACTCTCCTGCCACCGCCCGTCTGTGATCTCTGAGGATATCACACAAGCGCACCTGTTCCAGGTGTGCCTGCGGAGCGCCACTGTCACCACGTGTATTTCCCCTGATACACACAGAATACCCAGGGGGGCAGAATGGTGTGGTGACAGGAGCAAAGCCGGGAAATTAGACAGACAAGGGTCCCTGGCCTGGCTGCCCCTCCTGGGCTGGGTGACTCTGAGTACAGTGCTCAAACCCTGGGAACCTCAGCTTCTGCATCTATAGAATGGGAATGACGTTAGGATAATCCACTGTTCTTCACCTATAGAACAATTAATTACTTATAACAGGAAGGATTAAATGTGACAACTTATAGTGAGAAGCGGACCCAGAGCCTGCATCATGGTTGGAGCTCAGTCAATGTTGACAGACTTGATGCCCTCCTGTGACCTGGTCAGGTGCGCCTGCCATTGGCATCTCAGCTGGGCATCTCGGCCAAACGTGAGGCTACAGTGGGGAGCCTAGGGGGATGCTCTGGGAATACTGGATGGGCTCCAGCTGTGGCAGCCATCATCCGCCTCCCCTGGAAAGTCCCCGCAGAAAGGGTAGTAAGCTGGGTGGATCCCATGTCGAGCTCCTGTCTTCTTTTCTGGGTGGGTGAGGTGTGGGAATGGTGCTGGGTTCCTGGTCCCAGTTTTCTTTGGCTTTTGCTGCTCCAAATCCCCAATTCATAGAGGACACCCCTCCCCTTGCCAGTTTGGTCCCTCTTCATGGTAAAGTGAAGCTGACTTGGAGGTGCCCGGTCCCTACCCCAGGCCTCTAGGGAGGGCCTTTGGAGAGGATGGGGGAGCCCGTCCATCCATAGGACTGTTGAACATAATTGCTGTCTGTGGGCTTTATCCTGGCACCTCTCCCAGACCCCAGCAACGGGCAATCAGCAAACCCCATTTCCCACGCTTGCTCCTGTCTTTCTGGGTCCCTCTCCTGGCTCCAGGTACCAGGAGATACCCTTTCACCTCCCAGGAATTTTTCTGGGGTCCCCTTTCTAGTTGTCTGTGGCAGCTGCTGTGGCTAAGAGTGATTGACAGGTGAGTAAGGGAGTTATCCACAGGCTTCAGTAACAGTCTCATCTCCTTAAATTACCTCCGCTCCCTGGGGACAAGAGCGTGCCTTCTCTTCCTCTCGCACTCATGCTATTTAGGAGCGCGTCAAGGCTGGGCTCCTTAATTTAATGAATATACACTGGTCAAGCACCTACTGTGTACCACATGCTGTGCCCTTAAATGACACCATTTAAAACCCAGCCCCTGAGAATTTATAGAAAAACAGTGCCTGCCAGGCATCTGAGTTGGCAAAACAGAATATTTTCTTTAAGAAGAAAACAGGAGAATAAAGATCTACTGGGGCCTCCTCAGAGGGATGGCAGAGAAGCTGGGGACGCTGAGAGAGGCGAGTCCTGTTTTGCAGGGGGGCCATCCCACTGCCTCAGCCGGGCCCAGGCCGCTGGCCTCCACTCACTGGACTTTGGATGAGACTTTGAGGCGCCGCACGCCCGCGGTCGGGAACTGCCTGGAGTTGATGTAGGAGACCTTCTGCAGGGCGCGGTTGATGTTCCCGATGTCGTCACCTTCCATCACCAGGACGGACTGCGAGGGGTTGAAGTGATACTGGAAAACAGGAGAGAATGATCACAGTGTACCCAGTCCCACGGAGACCCTCCATCTCCATGAAGAGGCCACGGAGGCCAGCGCCGGCATCTCCAAACTGTCTGCCTGTGCAGCAGCTGTGTGCACAGGCGACTGTTCTAACCCTCGAGCCACTCTAGGAACTGCTATGAATAAGATGTCAGGATCCTATCTGTGGGTTCAGATTATGTTTCCAATGCTCATGTGATAGGAAAGAAGGACATGAATATATTTTTATGTACCTACCTGGCAACTGTTATTTTTTGAATAGATAATATATCCACCTGGTTCAAATGGACATATGTGCTAAGTGAAAGTGTCCATCTTATGTCTATCTCCTATCGACCACCTTCTCCAAGCTCATCCCACAGGTAACCACGATTATACTAATTTCTGAGCGACAAATCCCATTCTTGTTCATAATGAGTTGCCCCCCTTCCTGGCAAGAGGCTTATCCATGCCTGTCCTATTGTCAACAGGTTTGCTCATGTGACTTACAGCCCCCTTCCCTGCTGGATATATATTTTCTGCCCTGTTGCACTCAGTAGTGGTCAAGTGACTTGCTTGGCCACCAAAATGTGGGCAGAGGGTTGTCTGGTTGATACCCAGGTGGGATAATAGCCAGCTCATGGTTTAGTGTGTCATGTTCCCTCTGCCAGGAAACCCACACAGTTCCCTCAGGGGCTGGTCCGTTAGCCTGGGTCTCACAGCGAGGGTGCTATGAATCAGAGCTACAGCCCATCTATAATGGACATGCGGTGTGAACAATAAAAAAATAGTTGTTACATAAGCCACCGAAAAATCACAAGCCATTTGTTACTGCAGCATAACCTAGCCTGTCCTAACAAATTATTCTTATGAATATATAATCAATGAATATTGATTTCCATTATTCTCTTTTCTTAAGGGTAACTTCTTTACATACTATGCCTAATACTATACCTTTGCTTTTTTTCATCTAGCTTATATCTTGCAACTCTTTCTGTAAGCTTCCTTATTCTTTTATACGGCCGTATAGTATTTTTTAATATCAATAAAATTAGTTATTAACCGTTCTCCTTATATGACCTTTGGGTTGTTTTTTTAGTTTTTCTCTAATAATGCCACAATGAATAGCCTTGTACACATAACATTTTATAAATGTGTAAATATATCTGTAGAGTTATTCCCTACAAATGAAATTGCTAGATCAAGGAGTATATGCATTTAAATTTTGACAAATGTTGCCAGATCCCCCCTGGCTAGGGATTATAGCAATATGCACGCCCTCTCCTAGTGTGTGAGAACGCCTCTTTTCTCAAAGCCTCAACAACAGAGCATGCTGTCAGTCTTTGGGACTTTGGCCAATCTGGTAGGTGATATACATACCATCTTAGTGTAGTTTAAGTTTGCATTTCTCTTACCATGAAGGAGACTGAGTATGTTTCCTGGGCCTAAGGAAAAATCTATCCATTTGAGCTTTTCTCTGAGATGACTTGTATGTCTTTATAAGAGTTCCTTGTTCTGTGCCTGGCCATGATGGGAGGTGGATGTCTCATGAACACTATGGTGACACTGACGCACGTACGTCCCTTGCGTTGTGGCCCCTACCCATCTGACAGCTTCATCTGATGTCTCATGAACACTATGGTGACACTGACGCACGTACGCCCCTTGCGTTGTGGCCCCTACCCATCTGACAGCTTCATCTCTGTCTCCGTCACCCGCATGCGAACGTTTCACGGTTCCCTCCTGAGGCTGTCTCGTCTTCCCTCATCCAGGTCCCCAGGAGGCTCCGACAGTGCTCGTGACGTGGTAGCATAATTATCCTAGTGCAGTGACCGTGAGCTGAGCGAGCCTTATCCCTGAATCCCAGAACCTAGGCCTAGGCCCTGTAAGCCCCTCCTGGGTGAATGAATGGGTGAGCGGTCCCCTCCAGCCTACATTTTACTCAGGATCATGTCTTGTTACTCCCCAAAGGGACTCTTTTTTTGCAGTCACGTGTCTTTTCAGTCAAGCCTCCATGGGAGTCATCAAATCCTGTTCTTCCCTTCCAGGGCATCCTGCACTTCCCAGCTCCCCTTTGCCACTTGAAGGCAAAGCCATGTGACTGCATCTGGCCGAGATGTGAGACAAAGTGAAGCGGCAGCTCTGGTAAAATGCCCTGCAGGGCACGCCAGCCTTTTTCTTTCTCTGCTCTGGTGGCCTATGGCATTCTAGGCAGAAATCCCTCCTCTCCCCACCCCCAACTTCGTGTGAGAAAAATAAACGTTTAAGCATGGAGCCATAGAGATTTTGGAGTCATTTGCTACTGGGGTGACTAGCCCGTTGGAGGAACTGGGCCCCTCCAGGCATGACTCGAACTTCCCCAAGGCTGTGTGGTATCCCTGGAAGGTGATGGGTTGTGTGGATGGCCATCCCCCAGTTCTGGTACAAACTACAGACAGATACAACTTTGGGGTACACTTCTCCCTTCTGGACTTCATTTCCTCATTTAAAATAGTGAGGATATTAGCATCTACCTGCCTGGGGCTTAAATGCAATAACACATATAAAGTGTCAATTTGTGGTAGCTTTTGTCATAATTCTTATTATTGTAATTATGTTTGCACTGAGTCTTGCCTGTGCTGCTTCCCCTGCCTTTGCTGCCCGCCTTTCCCCACGCTCCAGGTCCCTCCTGTCCTGAAAGCCCTGAGCAGGGTCTCTGCGCTGTGACGTCTGGTCACGAGCAGCACTCCCTGTGCTGGACGCAGAGTCCCCTGGCCTAGAGCAGGTGACGCTGCAGTCAGCCTCCGGCCGGCTTCTCTCTCGCCCGGGATGATTCACTGGCCGCCATGCACTGATGAGTCATGATACAGTAGTTCTAAATGCTCACAAATAACCATTTTCAGATTTGAGCAGATTCAAGGTCATTCTTCTCAAGATACTACTTATGTTCCCAGAGGTTTTTCTGTCCCATCACATCCCTGCTATAGGATAGCAGAGTTGCTGTCTGTCTCTCTGCCTGCTGCCCCTGGCAGACTGTGAGCACCTGGAGGGTAGGGTCTACTGACTTTTCTCAGCATCATCACAGGGGCTAGCCCATCAAAGCATGAAGCGAGGGGATGACCCTGCCGAGAAGGCCAATCTCTGAGCCTCGCATCGCATCCGGGCTGAACAGGCAACACAGCTCTTCCCCAGGACGGATCAGCAGTTCCCCGGGAAGTCAGCAGAGGGCACATTCCTACTGCAACCACCTCGGAAGGACCGGTCAGGGAACGTGTTGGATCTCTAGGTAACACTCTCATCAGAGCATTCCAAGGACTACCACAACCTTCACCATAGTTCTTGTGGAATCAATAAGGCCTTCTACTGAATAGGTGTTTGTTTTGTTTTGTTTTTTGAACTGCAGTGTTCACAGCCCTGTGGCATGACTGAGGTTGGTCTCTAGGTGTGTGGGACAAAGGGTGATATTGGTATTACCAGAGGGATGGCTTTTTGGGGATCCAGCGTTCACTCTGCCCTGAGAAGCTGTGTGGTAGCCACGGTGATTCCTTTCTTTAAGCCAAGAAGCTGCTGGACAGAGGGGCTTTGCAGAGTGGTCAGATCTGAGGGGCCTATGTCACCAGCCATTAACAGGCTGGAACAGGGGTGAAATTCCTGTTCAAAGCTCTGACCTATTCTTCGAGGACAGGCCGGCCATGGCAGTCTAGGCACCTTGCCATTACTCCCTTGGACACCTGCCAGCCTCTTGGGCTGGGCCAGAAGATTGGCCTCTGCGACAACTGTCACCCAGGCTTACTTTTCAAAAGACATGCAAGCCCAGCCCAGCTGGAGAAGGAAACTGGTTTTTTGAGAGCCTATTTATTAGGTTTGCTAGGGGAGATCTATATACCTATGTCTATGTACCTATATCTATATCTATATGTCTATATCTATATATCTATATCTGTATCATCTATAATCGATATACCTATATCTATATCTACATCTATATCTATCAGCTATATCTATATTATCTATATCAATATCTATTTATGTATCTATGTCTATATATATCAACTATATCTATATTATCTATATTTCTACTATTAGATACTAGTAGATATATTTCTACTATTAGATATCTATTATCTATATCTCTTTCTATAGCTATAAGTACATCTATATAATCAATATTTATATCTATTTCTATAGCTATAACTATATGTCTATATCTGTATTTATAGCTATACCTTTGCTATAGCTAATATATAAATATATATAAAGATGTGCATAAAATTCAATTCTTACAACATCTCTGCAAAATATTAAGTCCATTTTTAGATAAGGGAAGTGAGGCTTATGGGATAGAAGCACCTTGCCCAAGGTCACCCAGCTAGTAAATGTCCACACTGTGATCTGAACCACAGACAGTCTTGCTCCAAAGTCCCTGCTCTGTCCCTCTCTTCCACACTGTGCAGATGACAGCCACAGGGATGATGCCATGGAGATCAGAGCGGGGCTTTCTTCAGGAAGATGGCTACCCCACAGAGTTTTGTGTGGATACAAGACAGCAACCACCCAGACACTTAATGACTCCAGACACGCTGGAGAGAGATTCAGAAATGTGCATGATCCGGGGAAAATCAGTGAAAAAGAGAAACCGAACTGGGCTCTGTGAGCCGACAGGAAGTTTCCTTAATCCCAGGAGGACTTCACTTCTTTCAAATAGCCAGAGAGAAGGCGGGGGCCAGGAGAGAAAATAATAGCCACTCTTCAGCAACAAAATGAGGGATAAATGGAGGCAGGCAGGCAGGCAGTTTTAATCATTTTAAGAATGCCTTCTAATCCGAGTTGGGACAAGTCCCCGAGCCCCACTCTCCTTATTTCTGAAATGGGGTCATACTATTTAATTTGCTGTGGGGAGTGGGGATAATGAACTTAAGAGGGCCCCAGTGGGTGCGCTGTAAATCATGCGCCTGTCACTGACTTCTCACAGGGCACTCCGGTCCTTGCGAGTGGTGCCCTAAGGGCGTAAAATGATCCTTTGCACTGACTGGCTATGAGCAGGTAGTACCCTGAAAAATCAGACTAGCCTCCCCACGGGATGATCCGGCAAAGAGGAGACCCACCCAGGGACCAGGAGCAAACCCAGAATCTGACAGAGAAGGGAGGGTTGGCAGAGGGATTTCTGCATCGCTGGTCTGACAACACACTGAGGAAACAGCACAAACGGCAGGTCAAGGATCAAACTCCAGGCTCTGCATGTGAGGATGTGTGTGTGTGTGACATGTGCCGTGAGGGGCTTGCCTGGACCAGCTGCCATAAAACACTGCTGTTCCACTAGGAGTTAGTCTTCTGAGTTTCCTTCCTTGGTGGTGATTAGCTACTGAAGCACGTGTGTGTGTGTGTGTGTGTGTGTGTGTGTGTGTGTGTGTGTGTTTAGTGCATGTTAAGGTCCCGGAAATCTATTCTTGCCTTATCCTGCGTGTGTTCTACCATCATCCCCCTCTGACCCAGTCTCCAGGTGAGCATCCTAAACCCCACACGGGCCCAGATCATGTTCCCTTGCCCGGAGTACTTCATGGTTGCCTGTGGCCGACAGAAAAAAAGTAAACACCTAAACATAGCTAACAAGGCTCCCTGACGTGGCTTCTGTCGACCTCTCTGGTCACACTTTCTACCTTGGTCCTGCAATTTGGGCACTTGAACATTGGCCCCGGAGTCCCAGGGTGCATTGCGGGTTCCTCAGCCCTCTACCACCACTCAGGCTCTTGGCTCTGGCTAGAGTGGCCACCCTGTCCTCTCCCCCTCCTCTACCCCCTGCCTTTTTCCTGGTTGGTTCCTACCCATCCCCAAACTTTTTATTTTTAAAAATACCTTCCTGAATGCTGCTTCAGTTCCTGTAGGGGAGTAAGCAACCAACCAACCAAAGAGCAGGTAAAAGATAATGACTCCCTGTGGAATAGCCACCTTCCTGAAGAAGCCCTGTTCTCATTTCCATAGCGCAGTCACTGCCTCCTCCAAGGAGCCTTCCCTGACTGCCATTCCCCAGGTTCTGGAGCTCTGAAGGAGGACTGAGTTTCCTGAAGACAAAAAGCTAGGAACATTCCTTTTTGTGCCTCTTTACACAGCCGAGAACCAAATACATGGGTGTCCATGGAATGTTTGCTGACTCGACCTCCACTTAGACAAAAGCACGATGTGCTCAGCTCACGAGCCCTTCCAGAGGCCCCATCAGGGCTGCACAAGCCCCACGCAGCTGCAGTCAGAGGGCTCCCCGCTCCTGGGCTGCCTCCCAGCCTGGAGGGCAGCGGAGCTCCACGGGGGCTGGGATCCCTGGTGATGGAGTGAGGGCTACCAGGATGCTTATCCTGCTCTTTGCTCAGGACCCAGAGCCTTCCTGCAGTCAGGGGCTCCTGCGATCCAGGTGAGGCCAGAGCCATGCCTGCATGTCAGGCAGGCTTGCAGAGGCAGAGTTGGCCACATCCTGCCTTCCCGCCCCCCTCCCCTCCTGAGGAGCTTTGTTCAGAACGCAGCTTTGATTCTCTTGGATTATTCAAATGTTTGTATTTTACACACATGATCAAAATCCCGAGTCCGTTTACATTCCCTTTGATCGCCAGAGATTGCTTGAGGCTCAATCTATGCCTCAACTCAACAATGAAAGACCCAGCGACCTCCACATCTGCTTTCTAATTCTAGCCTGCCGGGTCTGACCTTCCTTTCTGATGTGCACCATATATGGTCCAAATTTTTTATCTTTAAAATATCTTCCTGCACGTTGCTTCGGCTCCTTTAGGGGAATAAACAACCAACCAATGAACAGGTGAAACACTGAGTCCCTCCAGGTAGACCCTGCACGTGAGCCTGACTATCCATCCACAGGGGCTTTCTCTGGAATTTCAGGAGATGGCAGCAGTGTCTATTCGGAGTCACAGTCACCAATCTCCCCGCTGTGGCAGCACCTTTTCCTGATGTGGCTCTGTGCCACTGGACAGGAAAGGACTCCATTTCCCAGAGTGCACTGGCCCTGGGCAGCCTCCTGCTCATAAACCTGATTGGGGGTGATGTTGGCTCCTTCCTTACCTTTATTCCTTGGCCGAGGCTTTCCAGGGAATTGATATCCAGCCCTTCCTTGCAGGCCTGCAGGCAGGAAATCACCTTCTGACTCTCCATCTTCCCAGGGCGGATGGTGAGACTGGCCAGGCTGCCATGGAAGAACTGGGCAAACCGCGGCTTGGTGACTTCTCCTCCTGGAAGAGAAAGAAGCGCTGTTGTTTCTGTGGGGATGGGGGATGAAACACCACTCCAAGGCACCGCCTGGCTCTGGAGCCAAGAACACAGTGACTGTGTCCCTTACACCTGAACTTTTCCTTCCAGGTGGTGAGCTTGGTGGCGAGGTTCTCAACAAGAGGATGTAATAGGCCACCAATGCCGTGACACTCCCAGCTGCACCTGGTTTAGGAAGCCTGGGATCTGAGAATTTTAAAATAGTTACTTTCAGAGACACACACTGTCTGAGAAGACAGGAGGGAAGAGGAAGCTGCCGTTGATTAAAAGCCTGCTGTGCACCGGGCTGTGTGCAAGGAACTTCACCTGAGTAAGCCTACAAAGATGGGATCGTTGTTTCCAACTGACACCTGAAGAGTCCCTGACTCAGGAAGGTTGAGGGACTTGCCCCAGGACACACAGCTCAACGCTGGAGCTGGTACTCTCGTCCTGGCCTGTCTGGCTCCCAAGCTGGCGTTTGCTCCCCTACGTTCCACTAAGAAGCGGACAGGGACTGAGGAATCCCAGAAAGCCCACACACCAATAGGCGCTGGCTCTCTTGAAATGAGTTGACTTCACATCAGCTCACATTCAGGTTCTTTGGCTTATATGGACGTCCTTGATTCGGATCTACTTCCGCCTTTCTTCTCCTGTTCTCTACTGACTGAGTCGAGTCCTGTCTGAGCTGGGGTCCACTTCTCAGCACATGGAATTGTCCAATGTGGCTTATGCTGCAAAGCCAGCCTGGAAGTTACCTCCTTGTATTTTCTCCATGGTTTTCCAAATCACTCCCCACCTCCCCAAGGTCTATTTGGATCCTCGCCTCCACTGGGAGGCCTTCCCCACTGACTTCACGGAGCTCAGACCCCTTCCTTCTCTGGGCAACCTACTCCAACACACTTAACCTTGATCTTGCTCAGTCCACAGGGGACTCTCAACAGATCTGGCTTTGAGGAATGACCTGAGGTGGCCATGGCTTGAGGTGGCCAATTTGGGGCCTTCTGTTCTGGGCTGTCAAAGCCCCCATGGATAATATGGCCCTCCAAGTCCTTAGCACACTCCTGCCCCAGCAAAAGGCACTTCTATTGACCTGTAGGAAGAAGGTGTGAGCTTGGTATGAACAGCAAAGCTGCCACTACCAGGGCATCCAGATGGTCATCCCCCAACTGGGTGTGGACTATGTTTCTAACACCTGTGAAGCCCTCAACATACATTCTATTATTGAACCTTCATCAGACTCTTGGGAGGTGGGCACTCTTCTATAGTTACAGGTGAGCAAATTCAGGCTTAGGAGGAACAAGTGACCCCAGGCCACAAAAGTAGGAAGTGGTGAAGTATGTGCCTCAGTGTGAATATATCCATCCAGGGAGGCCTCCTGGCGGCACTGGCCAGCCTGGTCCAGTGAAGCTCAGAGAGCCCATGCAGCAGCTCCATCCTTAAAAACCAAACTCTGCAACTCTTTTGAATGCAAAGACATTTTCCTACGCATTCTTTTCTCTCAGCAAAGCATCCACGTTCTATATTTTTGACTCAGAAATCCCAATCTGTGATGTACTCTATTTATCAGTGATGTAGCTCCAGGAAATCAATTCAATTAGCATTTTGCAATAGGAGGCCAGCATAAAATTTGAAATATATTTGCACTCAGGGGTTGTTGTGAGGCAGGACTTTAAAATATAATGGATACACTGAAAATCTCTTTCTTTTTACTATCTAGCCCAGAGTGACTGCAGACACCACATGGCTCCTCTGTTAATATTTAGATATAAACATACTCATGAATTATCTTAAAAAAAACACCAACCTGATTTCTAACACACAGGACCTCCGCTCAGTCTTTGGGAACATGACGTTGGGTTCCTGAGGCTAGATCTGCACACAGTTAAAAGCGTTTGCTGTATGCCTCCCCTTCCGTTAGATTCGGTTCATTGTAAGATGTGGACCATGCTCTCCAGGAGCTCACATTTAGTTGGGAGAATAAAATGTAGAAACTGGGACAATATAAAAGAGCAAATTGCCAATACAATAGATCGTTCAAGGCTGAGCGTGATTAATTTTCAAAAAAGTGATGTAGATAATGTGGCCAACAGATCACAGAGGGGAAAAATAATAGCCATCATTTATGAGGTCCTTAAAACATGGTGAGTTCCTTCATATGCTATTTTGTTTAATCCTTAAGCGGTAAGATAGTATGTTTGAGATCTTAGCCTCTATTCTTTTAATTTCTCCCCTCTGCCTCCCTCTCTGGCTTCTGCTCATCGCCACAGGGAGGGCTGTGACAGGGAGATGGGTATGGATCAACATTTGGGGGAAAATAGAGGAAGAAACTTTGGATTCCCCCAGACAAGGAAGTGATTCCCCAGGCAAGGGTGTGTGGGGGAGGGTAGACCACAGAGATGCAGGGGGAGGGCACCTGAGCCTGACACTGGGCTGAGCGCTGACAGGGGTGTGTGATGTTGGGAGGGGATGCTGGTCTGGGCATCAGGACGGAGGAACAGATGGTCTTACAGAGAGAGCATGAGGAGCAGTGGAGATAGTTCTGTGCCTCTCAGTAAGGCTAGGAGACCCCGAGAAAGCTGCCAGTCCTGAAGCACCGCTAGTGACTGAGGACCAGAGAGGTGAGCACCCCTTGGAGGTCCCCTCAACACCCAAACATCATATAAATCCCCCTGAAATCAGCTGGCACCCTAAGGAAGCGGCAGGACTCTAAATCTGCGAAGGTTAAGTCCCTACTCAGATGGAATGGGAACTTGAAATGATGAATGTGAAAAAAAAACCCTAATTTTTTTCCTTTGTGAATCCAGATTCTTCCCTGTTTCACTTACAACTCCTTTGACATGATGCTTTCAAAGTTAGGCTACTTGTCCAAGGCCATACAGCCAGGAATTAGTGAAGCCCAGATTCAAATTCAGGCCTTGCGTGCTCCCAAGCCCTTGACCTGCACGCCACACCATGAGATGTGGCCGGGAGGGCTCCAGCAGGATTTCTTGGGGGTGTCATGATTGGGCTGCTTCATAAAGATGGGGACAGGCTGGGACTGACACCTGCCAGGAGAATGGCCAGTTCTGCTGGGCTCTGTGGACAATGAATGAGTTCAGCAGCAACTCCCAGCGACGTGTGCCAGGTCTGCGGGGAAAAACAGCCTTTGGCGAGTGTGAGCTAACACAGCCAGTGCTCTTCGGAGCCAGAGTTTGCACTGGGAATGGGTCCCCCTCGGCTTTCTTTCAAGTGAGAGGTGGGGCCCACGCACTCTAAAAAGGGCTTTTGAATCATTAATGTTCCCTTTCCTTTAAGGGTGAGTCAAGGATCAATGCGCGCGAGCGTCCTAGGTCTCCTCCCTTTGCAGAGTGTGGGCCGGTGCGGCTGGCCTTTCCTTTCCTGCTGTCATTCCCGTAGCTAGTTAGTCAGACACACCGGGAAGGGCTGGAGGCCACGCTCCCTCTTGCTCCAGTCGGATGCTGCTCTGTGCGTGGCTGGTTGGTGGGGACGCCTCTCCCTGAACACAGTTTCATGGATGGCTGGGTATCAGTTTTGAGCAATGCAAATGGTGAGACCATCTGAAATCTTGCTCTCTCCCATTTCCTCATTTCAGCGATGGAGACGTCCACAGAAACGCAAAGGCCAAGTGAAGTGTGTAATAGACCCCTATGAGCCGCAGCTTAAACACTGTCCACACGACACCAGGGGGTGGCCGCTGTAGGTCGCGGGCAACTTGTGGAGACCGATGATCTGCCATCATGGCTGGCCAAGACACATTCTCAGTAGGCCTTCCCAACCCTTCAGTGTTTACGCATCCACTCTCTAACCTTTCCGGCAAACATTTATATAGCATGTTCTAAGTGCGTAAAGCATACAGCTCCCTGTGGACCTACATTCATGCGGGAATGAATGGAAGGGCCCTCGCATGTCACCAGTAAATCTCCTTCATTCTCCTGATGAAGAACTGAGGAGCACAGCAGCAAGACACCGTTTTCAAAGACCCAGAGCGGATAAAACACCAGCAGCAGCGAGGATTCGGAATCCTCCTCTTCAGACGCCAAACTCCCCTTCCTGAGGTCTGGTGTGTATTCCTAGGTCCCTTTCTGCCAGACACTAAAATGAGTGCAGACATGTGAAGTACATGCCTTCATTTAATCAGCTTGGTCTAATGTAGTACAAGTTATCTTAATAAAGTCTGTGTTGAAATTATTCTCCATCCCTAGGGTCTGAGCTCTGCAAGGAGGAGGCACGTGCTAAACCTGACAGGCCTGTGCCTACCCTTCAGCCCTCAGCTTGACTTCGTATGCTCTGTGGGGGAAAATGCCCAGAAAGTTGGGGCAAATGATTAACCTCCAGGTTCCGGAACCCTCTGCCTTCCTTCCTTGGCTGTGAAACACCATCTGGCTTCCCATGACCCTAGAAGCAGAGGTGGCGTCGCAGCATAAGGAAGGCTGGGGGCTGTGGTGGCACAGACCTGGGTGCAAATGCAGACTCTTTGCGACCCTTGCCAAGGGTCTAAGTCTCAGTTTTCCCATCAGCAAGATGGGAACTGTAACCATACCCACATCGCCTGGGTGTTAAAGGAAAAGGTGCCAAGAGGTGAGCACAGAGCAGGAGCTCAAAGGGGCAGCTAGTTCAAGTGGCATGAAGAGCCAAGGAACTCCTGGGTAGGGTTACACCATGCGAGTTTCTCCATCTCTCTCTTCAGTGGCCTTGCTCCCTTCTTTTCCTCCCCTCTGGTGTGTCCTTCAGAGAAGCGAAAATGATACTGTTTTTACTCTAAGGCCCTTGCCAAATATTCTAATTAATATAATTTTCAAAATAAGATACAGTTAGAATTATAACCCAATTATACTGTGTTTCCAGGCATGAGTCACTGAATTTTAAAGCTGATTTAATGCGCATTCCCTTTAAACCAATGCACGCTCGTGTCAAATTAATTCCAGGGCCTAGAACAATCTTCCCTTGATTTTTAAATACAGACAATGCTGAGAGACCCCCTGTT